GGCACCCCCTTGCCAGTTTTAAAGAGTAAGGTTTCTAGGCCTTATGATTTCAAAGATATGCCTCGCTGGGTCTGGCAAAGCCCTGCTGGAATCTGTCTGAAATGTGGTGAGATGAGATTTCCAGGGGATATCAATCAGGGAGAGGGGCAGATGCATTGTCCCACATAGCTCTGGGAAGGCAAAAGCAGAATCATGTACTCAAAGTAGGAAACAGGGGAAGCATTTCTATATAACTGCACAAACAGGGGCAGGGGAAACCTTTTTTGAACTGAATAGGGTGGATTTCATTGGGTTTTCTTACACAAAGAATCCTCAGAGGTGTTTTTGCCAATTCCTTCCTCTGAAACAGAGTCTCCATCACCTGGGATTCCTTGGTGGTCTCCCATCCAAGTCCTAACTAGGGCTGACTCTGCTTAGCTTCCAAGATCAGAGGGGATCAAGTGCATTTAGGTCAATGTATGCATGCATATATGTGTGTGTGTGTGTGTTCCTTCAAGTCACCTGTTGACGTATGGCATTCCCATGAATTTCGTCCCTACCTGTAGACTAGGCTTTCCTACCTGTGTTCAGTTTGCCTCTGGCTCTTTCTCAGTGGTTTGGTCTGCCCAAACAGGGGAGATGGAGTTGCCTTGTCTCCCACCAACCAAACTGTGTCAGAGACATGCAGAATAAGCAGCCTGCTTCCTGCAAGACCCATCTGGGTTATGGTAATGAATCCGTTTGGGACTAAAGCAAGGAGCAGGTAAGCAGCATCGTCTGGAGGAGACTGATTTCCAAGAGACCGACTGGAGGAGAACCAACCTCAGGGGAAAAGAGAGAAATAGTGCGTAGATAGTGCACACTAACCGTAGCACCAAAAATGGTATCACTGTTGTGGATTTTGGACGTTGTTTTAGTTGTGTGCCTCTGGGTTCCTTCTGGCTTATGGTGACCCTAAGGCAAGCCTATAATGGGGTTTTCTTGGCAAAATTTCTTCCGACAGTGTTTGCCATTGCCATCCTCTGAGGATGAGAGAGTGTGACTTGCCCAAGGTCAACCAGTAGGTTTCATCGTCTAGCTGGGATTCAAACCCTGGTCTCCAGAGTCCAACACTAAAACCACTGTGCCATGCTGATTATTGAGTTTTAATTTAAGGGACTAAAGGAGCTAGCCAAGGTGCTGAAATCTAGCAAGCAAATGAGGTTCAGCCTCTTGCGGTCCCCTAAAGCAGTGGTTCCCAAACTTTGGTTCCCCAGGTGTTTGGGACTTCCATTTCTAGAAGGCCTAGAGCCAGCTTAATTAGCAGTCAGGAATTCTGGGAGCAGAAATCCAAAACATCTGGAGGACCAGAGTTTGGGAGTCAGTGCTTTAAAGTTCAGACTGGAACCCAGAGCAAACTCGTTGCCACTGGTGCTATTTGTAAAGAGATCTTGTAGCACCTTTGAGACTAACTGAAATAAAGAAGTTGGCAGCATGAGCTTTCATAGACTATGCATCTGAGGAAGTAGACCAAAGTCTAGGAAAGCTCCTGCTGCCAACTTCTTTCTTTCAGTGAGCTTCAAAAGTGCTGCAAGATCTCTCTACATACCGATTCTACAGACTAACATGGCTATATCTTTGAATTCTACCACTATGGTGCTGTTTGGTTTTGGAACCCATCCTGCAAAGTGGAAACATAGCTGGGAGGGCCAAGATCCAAGCTTTAACCCCTGTGTGCATCTCCTCTTCCACAAATCCCCCAAGCAGGAATGCATGCTCCTTTTTGAGCACACCAGGCTTTGACTGGGGCTGCTACTGAATGTGTGAGTGGGACAAGAGAGACCCAGGACCCAGGATGGAAAAACCCTTGGCCACTTGAAGCGTCTTGCCTTGTTCTAGCTCTCAAACGTTTTTTTCCCTTTCTCCCATTTTGATTGTGCAGCACCAGCCGGTTTCGCGAGCCAAAGCGCAGCTGTGGAAAGACAGCCTGGCATAATTAGCCCTTTGCTTTCCTCTTGCAAAGCAACACACACACACCCCACCAAGTGAGGATTTCTTGCTGACTGCACAGCGCTTGAGGAAAGGAGCATTATGGCCATGATTGGAGTTGGAAAAAAGGGAGCTGCTTGCAGTGAAATATTTCCGTGATCCCAGCAAGGCACCTGCTTCCTCTCACATCCTTAGTCATCCAACCCTCCTGCCTTCGTTCTTCTCTTTGCCTTGCAATTTTGCATGTTTTAGATGCTGCATTTCAAAGCAAAGGCTGTTACACGCCCCATTAAGTTCTAGCTAGACAAATGTCTTGCGCACATAACACACATCGCACAATATGTCTAATTGCACAGCTACATTCTTCTTGACATATTCTATTTCCTTCATCCAAATAGAAAGCTGTGTTGTCCTTGTTATCCCTGAATTTCATTTTTGATGAAGAAAAATCAGCCATACACCCTTCTCCACACTAAGAGAGTTGGACCGCACCAGGGCCTGATGATTTCTGTTCTGCTTTTGCTTGGATTCTGCCTGACCTCTTTTCTCCTCTCCCTGGGGCTGGAGAGTCAGAAAGAGGCCGCATGGTTTGTCCTTCAATTCACTTCAAAACTTTCCATTAACAGGGATAATACCACAGCAGGAGAGCCAAGCTTTGTGGGAAGGTGCCCTTCACGTAAAAATTAATTCTAATATTGTGGAATCTGTAACAGAATTTTGCATTTTTGGTGTGCCCCTTCCTGATCAGGGCTTCAGCCAGCCATATCAGCATTCAAAAGTACTTGAATCCATTCTCACCCAACAGCCAGCCAACATTTGGGATGTCATGTAGAAGAAGGAGAAAGCTTGTTTTCTGCTGCTACAGACAAAGACACAGAGCAATAGATTCAAACTACAGGAAAAGGGATTCCACCTAAACATCAGGAGGAACTGACAGTAAGAACTGTTCAAAGTGGAATAGACTGCCTTGGAAAGTGTTGGAGTCTCCTTTGGAGGTTTTTAAGCAGAGGCTGGATAGCCATCTGTCCCAGGGAT